TACTATTTTACTATTTTACTATTTCAGTACTATACTACTCTTCTACTATGTCCTATTTACTATTTCAGTACTATTTGCTATTATACCATTCTACCACGACCAGAGCCGTTTGCATCTCGGAAACCGACCTGCGCCGGTTCACCCAGGACTTTACTATTTTACTATTTTACTCTTTTACTGTTTCAGTACTATACTACTCTTCTAGTTACTACTCTTCTACTATGTCCTATTTACTATTTCAGTACTATTTGCTATTATACTATTCTACCACGACCAGAGCCCCTATGCATCTCGGAAACCGACCTGCGCCGGTTCACACAGGACTTGACTTTTTGAATATGTTACTATTTTATTATTTCAGTACTATATACTACTCACTTGCTTTGAAACTATTCTACCACGACCGGAGCCGTTTGCATCTCGGAAACCGACCTGCGCCGGTTCACCCAGGACTTTACTATTTTACTGTTTCAGTACTATACTACTCTTCTACTATGACCTATTCACTATTTCAGTACTATTTGCTATTATACTTTTCTACCACAACCGGAGCCGTTTGCATCTCGGAAACCGACCTGCGCCGGTTCACCCAGTACTTTACTATTTTACTATTTTACTATTTTACTATTTCAGTACTATACTACTCTTCTACTATGTCCTATTTACTATTTCAATACTATTTGCTAGTGTACTATTCTACCACGACCAGAGCCGTTTGCATCTCGGAAACCGACCTGCGCCGGTTCACCCAGTACTTTACTATTTTACTATTTTACTCTTTTACTATTTCAGTACTATACTACTCTTCTACTATGTCCTATTTACTATTTCAGTGCTATTTGCTATTCTACTATTCTACCACGACCAGAGCCGTTTGCATCTCGGAAACCGACCTGCGCCCGTTCACACAGTACTTTACTATTTTACTATTTAACTCTTTTACTATTTCAGTACTATACTACTCTTCTACTGTGTCCTATTTACTATTTCAGTACTATTTGCTGGTATACTATTCCACCACGACCAGAGCCGTCTGCATCTCGGAAACCGACCTGCGCCGGTTCACCCAGAACTTTACGATTTTACCATTTTACTCTTTTACTATTTCAATACTATACTACTACTCTTCTTTTATGTCCTATTTACTATTTCAGCACTATTTGCTGGTATACTATTCCACCACGACCAGAGCCGTTTGCATCTCGGAAACCGACCTGCGCCGGTTCACCCAGGACTTTACTATTTTACTCTTTTACTGTTTCAGTACTATACTACTCTTCTAGTTACTACTCTTCTACTATGTCCTATTTACTATTTCAGTACTATTTGCTATTATACTATTCTACCACGACCAGAGCCGTTTGCATCTCGGAAACCGACCTGCGCCGGTTCACCCAATACTTTACTATTTTACTATTTTACTCTTTTACTATTTCAGTACTATACTACTCTTTTACTATGTCCTATTTACTATTTCAGTACTATTTGCTATTATACTATTCTACCACGACCGGAGCTGTTTGCATCTCGGACACCGACCTGCGCCGGTTCACCCAGGACTTTACTATTCTACTATTTTACTATTTCAATACTATACTACGCTTCTACTATGTCCTATTTACTATTTCAGTACTATTTGCTATTATACTATTCTACCACGACCAGAGCCGTTTGCATCTCGGAAACCGACCTGCGCCGGTTCACCCAGGACTTTACTATTCTACTCTTTTACTATTTCAGTACTATACTACTCTTCTACTATGTCCTATTTACTATTTCAATACTATTTGCTATTGTACTATTCTACCACGACCGAAGCCGCTTGCATCTCGGAAACCGACCTGCGCCGGCTCACCCAGGACTTTACTATTTTACTATTTGACTATCTCAATACTTATACTACTCTTCTACTATGTCTATTTACTATTTCAGTACTATTTGCTAGTATCCCATTCTACCACGACCAGAGCCGTTTGCATCTCGGAAACCGACCTGCGCCGGTTCACCCAGAACTTTACTATTTTACTATTTGACTATTTCAGTACTATACTACTCTTCTACTATGTCCTATTTACTATTTCAGTACTATTTGCTATTATACTATTCTACCACGACCAGAGCCCCTATGCATCTCGGAAACCGACCTGCGCCGGTTCACACAGGACTTGACTATTTGAATATGTTACTATTTTATTATTTCAGTACTATATACTACTGATTTGCTTTGAAACTATTCTACCACGACCGGAGCCGTTTGCATCTCGGAAACCGACCTGCGCCGGTTCACCCAGGACTTTACTATTTTACTATTTCAGTACTATACTACTCTTCTACTCTTCTACTATGTCCTATTCACTATTTCAGTACTATTTGCTATTATACTTTTCCACCACGATCGGAGCCGTTTGCATCTCGGAAACCGACCTGCGCCGGTTCACCCAGTACTTTACTATTTTACTATTTTACTATTTTACTATTTCAGTACTATACTACTCTTCTACTATGTCCTATTTACTATTTCAATACTATTTGCTAGTGTACTATTCTACCACGACCAGAGCCGTTTGCATCTCGGAAACCGACCTGCGCCGGTTCACCCAGGACTTTACTATTTTACTATTTTACTCTTTTACTATTTCAGTACTATACTACTCTTCTACTATGTCCTATTTACTATTTCAGTGCTATTTGCTATTATACTATTCTACCACGACCAGAGCCGTTTGCATCTCGGAAACCGACCTGCGCCGTTCACCTTTACATTTTACTATTTCAGTACTATACTACTCTTCTACTATGTCCTATTTACTATTTCAGTACTATTTGCTATACTATTTCCCACGACCAGAGCCGTTTGCATCTCGGAAACCGACCTGCGCCGGTTCTTTTATTTTACTATTTCAGTACTATACTACTCTTCTACTATGTCCTATTTACTATTTCAGTACTATTTGCTAGTATACTATTCTACCACGACCAGAGCCGTTTGCATCTCGGAAACCGACCTGCGCCGGTTCACCCAGGACTTTACTATTTTACTATTTCAGTACTATACTACTCTTCTACTATGTCCTATTTACTATTTCAGTACTATTTGCTATTATACTATTCTACCACGACCAGAGCCGTTTGCATCTCGGAAACCGACCTGCGCCGGTTCACCCAGTACTTTACTATTTTACTGTTTTACTATTTTACTATTTCAATACTGCACTACTCTTCTACTTTGTCCTATTTACTATTTCAGTAGTATTTGCTGGTATACTATTCCACCACGACCAGAGCCGTTTGCATCTCGGAAACCGACCTGCGCCGGTTCACCCAGAACTTTACTATTTTACTATTTTACTGTTTCAGTACTATACTACTCTTCTACTATGTCCTATTTACTATTTCAGTACTATTTGCTAGTATACTATTCTACCACGACCAGAGCCGTTTGCATCTCGGAAACCGACCTGCGCCGGTTCACCCAGGACTTTACTATTCTACTATTTCAGTACTATACTACTTTTCTACTATGTCCTATTCACTATTTCAATACTATTTGCTATTCTACTATTCTACCACGACCAGAGCCGTTTGCATCTCGGAAACCGACCTGCGCCGGTTCACCCAGGACTTTACTATTTTACTGTTTTACTATTTCGGTACTATACTACTCTTCTACTATGTCCTATTTACTATTTCAGTACTATTTGCTAGTATACTATTCTACCACGACCAGAGCCGTTTGCATCTCGGAAACCGAGCTTCGCATGTTGACGCCCAAATTTGCATGTTGACCCAAGGGATCCCGCTTGAAGTATCTATTTGGACAGTGGTGGTTTTACGCAACCAGAAGGCAACCTCTCAAAGGTCTGAACAGTTTTGCATTCGCGGCTTTCCAAGGTACAGCTTCTCTGCTGTTCAACATAGCATGCACACGGTGCTACACAACTCTGGCCTTTGCATTCCGAATAACACCATCTGGATCGTCGCCTGCCGGAGGAAAGCGACAGCAGGCGACAACCAAGTCTGCCCAGCATCGGAAGTCAGCGGCACATAAAGACTAACGTAGAAATCGACCCTCAAGGCAAAATTCAACGAACATACAACGCGCAAAATCGTGTAAACGCGCCTGCTGCCCGCTGCAGCATCGAGGAGACCTTCCCAAAAAAAGCTGCTGTCGGCAACGGTTGTGCAACAAATGCTCCAACAAGAAAGAACGCAAAGACTGCCTGCTTCGACCGCTGCGTCCAGGTCTGCTCTCCATCATCCTTAGCACATGGAAGGTGTCTGAAGGTTTCCACCACCCCAAGGCGGCACAACAAGACATGAATCCGCGCCGGGAGTCGTTCGCATCCCGCAGTGCTTTGTGCAGCATGCCAACAACACGTGGCGCATCAAAGTTGTAGTCCCACTTGAGGAGCCGGTCTACCTGCCAAGCCAAGGACGGCAGCAACCACATTGTAGGCACCTAAAGTCTTGTGCAAGATGATGAAGCTTTTGTTACCCTCTGGCATTCCCAGCACTCTGTGACTACTGTTCTCTACATGCGTTGCAGCAAGCTGTATCCATCTGTCAGGGTTGCGAAATTTGGATCTCAGGCGCAGTCGCTACACCCACAAGACCCCGAAGACTGAGATGCCTGAAAGTGTCATGACTGAAGACGTGTGTTGTGAGGGCACAGCGAAAGAGTCTTCGATGCCCAAGCTCCGGAGCACTCGACAAAGCACCATCAATGTGCCATGAAAAGCCCGTGTTCTCATCTCATGGGAAGATGTACGTAGGCTCATGAGCTCAAGTCCGGCCACATGACCCGAGCAATCACAAAAACGCTGGCGGACCCGTTGAATCGCGCAGAATGCGCAAGACTGTTGCAAAGATAACGGCCTTCACCGGCTTCGAACCACAGCCGAGGTCTTTCACCCTCGCGGCCCACCAGCGCTGATCCAAAAGACTCAGCAAAGGAAGACAGGCAAATCTCGCAAGTGAAGGTCGTTTGGTTCTTGCTTAAACTAACTGACTATCACCACCACAACCACCATCATCACAAGCATCACCATGACCATCTTCGCCATCACGACGCCCAACGACATCGTTGCTTCGTTGTGGCTACCCTGCCTGCCCTTCCTGGCCCCGCCAGCACGTCCCTGGACGAAAGATGACTTACGAAGCAGTACGTCGCTCTCCTGCCCTACTTACCTGCTTGTTTGATGTGCGCATCAGGAGCTGGAACTTGTGACAAAGTAGCAACGCAAAATTATCTTGAATTGACAAAATAAACTTAAACCCTAAAGCTTAAACCTCTATGCACTGTGTATAGAACCCTTATGCTCATATATTGTGCCTATAACCCATTATACTTTATTTGTACGATTACTTACCACATCATACTGCACTCTATTCAAGACCAGCCAAAAATCGAGCTGAGTTGCAGGATGCCGCTGGTTATCACCGGCACGCCGGCTCGCAGAGCCTCCGACGTAACGCCCAGGCCACCCTGAAAACAGCACGAGAGGAGCATCGATCTCTGGGAAAACACCCGTACGAGCGCCTATACTGTACCAGACTGCATTGTACTGCATGGTGTTATGTTGCTTGTAGTGCATGACCATATTAGGCTACATTATACTATACTATACAGTATTGCACTGTATCTGTTTCAATATGCTGTGTTAAAGAATACTGCATGACAGGACATGGTATGACATGATCTGACATGAAACAGTTTGGTCGTATATGATATCATAACACTCGAACACATATCACATCAAACCATAGCATGCTACTGTACTATACTGTTCTGTACTCCACTGTACCATGCTGTACTACACCACGCAATACAATGCTATAGACTATATTATGATATACCATATTGCCTCAGACTCTCTGATCTCATTTGTTATCTTATCTTATATATATATATATATATTGTAGATATGGTTTGAAGTTATATTTCTGTCTGTAGTTACAGACATGCTTGTAGTGACATTGTATTTAAACCGAGGTGTGTACTTCTATGTGCATTCCTGTGCTTCTGCTTCTGGCTATATTGAAACTAAGCTGTATCTATATACATATATGTAGATGCATACATATATTGTGCATGTTATATGTTGGCATGTGTCATAAGCTGTATTGTAGAATGGTCTTGTTATCTTGTTCTGTATTGCTCATACTTTAGTACAATTTTTGTACAGTGTCGTATTGTGCTACATTACACCATATGGTATCATCATGTATCATCTGTGTTTTATATCATATATCCTTATATCATACTATCATCTCATATTATATTGCTGTCCTACATTGCACTTATGCCATGCTACATGTGATTATTGTGCAATATGTTGTGATATAAATATCAATATGCTGTGTATCAAAATGTAACACATTCTGTTCCATTCTGGTGTATTTATGCATTTTGGTTTGTACCTATATTACCTTGCGAAACGATGTAATATATCTATATGATACTGACTACAGTGCATTATATTGCAGTATATCGTAATACAGTGTTGATGTTATCTCATAATATATGATTACAATATTATCATATGACCATAGATTAGATTAGGTTAGAATATACGAATGCTACATCATTCTAGATGAGCGCACGGGCAGGTAGACCAGACTAGACTAGACCAGGCTAGGCTGGATTGGATGAGATTATACGAGACTAGATGAGGTTAGACGGTTAGATACACAAAAAAACAACACGAGTCTATGTCAGATCATAGGGCGCGTTGTTGATCAGCCACTAGAAGGGCCTGCCCGATGACGGCGTCCAGCAGTGGGAACAGCGCCGCAAAGGAGGCTCCTCGATGGGTTCTTTCACACGCAAGCTCACATCTCCAATAACGACATGTTAAAGCTGAGGCTTACCTTAGGTAAGTGTGATGGCCAGCCGACCCTTCAGAGCGAGGAGGCCGCTCGCGATCGCTGTGCTGAGCCCCTGACCTTTGCTCCTCACGAGGAGACGCCCATCCTGAATCTCAGAACACACTTTTCGCTATCCCATCGGGACATTAACGCAGCCCCTTCATCAGTGCAGGGGGGGCTCTTTTTTTCTGCCACTTTTTCGTCTGCCCTTACGGTTAGTTGGAATGCCTAGCAGGCCGAGGCAGCAGATCTGAGGGCGAGTTGGAAATTCACTACCAACCACCAATCCACCCCATACTAGCGACTAGTGCTCCGCGCCTCGCATCCTCAGACTGCATACCCAGACATGACGTGCCTCATTCGAGTAATCAGCCCCACGTCGAGATACTTACCCATAAAAGACGTAACGCACCCACAGCTCGGCACTCATCTGGGACTCACTCGAGTCTAGCACTCTGTACACAGTCCACTGCCGGGCGATAATTCAGCACAATCCCACAAGTCACTGAAATAGAATCATTTAGCAAAACCATCGCTCCAGCTCGCTGAACCTGATCCATTTTTGGAACTGAAGGGACAGCCGCCGAACGTTTCTCGACGGCAGCCTGAATGGATGGCTCTATGCCGAAACAAGTCGAATATACCTGGGTTGATTGCGTCATCCTGCATTCGTCTTATCTGATGAACGACTTAATTATGGCCTGCTAGATATCCCCTATCCCCAATCAACTATCCTGCATTCGTCTTATCTGATGAACGACTTAATTATGGCCTGATAGATATCCCCAATCAACTTGGCACCTTCCGCGAAATCTATCTTCACGAAGCGATCAACTATGTCTCCACTGGAAGGCTTCCAGCCGAAGAAAAGGAACTGCATCAATGTCCGATAGCCTTCGAGACCGTGCAGAGGGTTCACACAGTGACCACCTCCAAGCGAAGTCACGAGGCTGCTGTTCGGGAAGTTCTCCTGGAATTTTTGTGCCATGTTCATGCCAGTGCGCTCATCGTACAAGGTGTTGACTGCCACCGCATCCACTGTCGGGTTCGAGAAGCCAACAGGCGTCGGCAGCTGCGGCCATCCGTAGGCTGCTTCGGCATTCATGACAAACATTCTCGCAGCCGGCATTAGAGTCCTGTCTGCTACGTGTGATGCGATGTACTTTGCCACCTGGTTCACTTGCCACCGTCCTGTCATGTCAAGTGCTGGGATGAGATAGATTATGGCAAGCCCATTAAATGCCGACATCGCTTGCCTCGACATTGCATATGCTGCCGTGGTACAAGGGTTTTGCACCATGGCAAATACTACAGCTGGCAGCATCTGGAAGCCGATTGGCCACGTAGCGTCCTGGAACCATGGCACCAGCTCGTGGTTGACTTTTCGAAGCCACTCAATGATGACCAAGGGAGCTTGTTGCGGATCCATTGAAACCAGGAATTCACGCAGGAAATCCGAAAGGAAGGCCAATGAAGTATAGTTTCCACCACACTTCCTCGGATACCAGATAGCTCCGTGCGAGGAGCGGCGGAAGAGCTCCTCCACCGCCGCATCGATGTCCCCATCAAAGTAGTAGTCCTCCTCGTTCAACTCACCCTTCGTCCAGGGATTCTTTCGGCATGATGTGGTCTCCGCGCATTGGCTTTGGATAAATCCCAGGATCTCCGCCGTGTTGAGCCCGGCCTCTTTGGCAAACTCGAGCAGATCCGGGTTGGGGGCTTCGACGCCCGACACTGCAACACGCTGGATGGCCCCGGGGAATTGGGATGCATACGCAGCCGCAACACGGGTGCCGTAGCTGAAGCCAAGGACAGTGATGGGGTACCCACCGAAAGCCCAGCGTAGCCATTCGATATCATGGACCAGTGCTTGCGTGCCCATGTACTGCAGCAAGTTGTACGTGTCATGTCCATCTGGACGGTCGAGCCTCTTTGAGCATGCGGAAATCATCTCGGCTTTGCGCTCCAAGTACTTGAGCACCTGGCCGTGGTTGCCGTAGTCTGCCGGCAGGTTCCAGTTGTTGTTCAACAAGAACGTGCAGGGCGGCTGATGCACGACCCCCTTGGAGTCGGTGAAGTTGATGTTCAATGCGAGGAGTCCCGATGCAAACACTTTCATGAAGAGCACGGCTGGTTTCTTAGCTGGCTCACCCTTCAACTCCTCCCATGATGTGGGAGTGGCGAAGTCATTCAGCAGCCCAGCATAGGACAAACCCATACCACGTTGGTCCACGAAGACTACGTCATACTCTTGGATCTGGTCCAAATACTCCTTGAAATAGACAGCATAGCTTGCGCTTCCGTCAAGGATACCAGCTGTTGGGCCGCCTAGATGGACAAAGAGCATTCCTTTGGGCGCTGGCTGTGTCTTTGCCTCAATGATAAGGAACCACGTCCTGTAAATGGCAGTGTGACCTGGAGTGGAGTACATGAGGGGAGCGCCCACGTAGCCGATGGACCTTTTGACGAGGTACTGGAAGTCCGCGGATATTCCTAGTTCTGGACCGAGGTTGACTGTGTCGGTGTCGATTTTGGTGAAGATCAGGCTGTTTGGGTGCTGGAACGTACCACCGAAGGCTGTCTCCCGGCAGTTCTTGCTCAGGGTGTCCCGGTGCGCCTCTAAGGTGGCCATGATTTCGTAGAAGTTCCTGTTGCGCGCAAACATGATGCACGTCTCTTCCATGCAAGCGCGCTGGACCGCTGCATAGAAGGGATGTGGCGTTAGTTCCTTCGAAGGGTCGGTCTCAGTCTTCGCACGTCGCGATTGCAGAAGTCCTACGTCGCACACCTCCAGCTCCTTCTCTTCATTGCCTGCAGCCAAGCCGAGCGCAAGGAGAGACCAAAGAACCAGGCGACGAAGGCCACGTGGGAATGTCATGGTCCACAGGTCGTTGAGGGCTCTGCACAGCTTGAGCAATCTTGAGCCAAAATGGGCTACTAAAGGGCGCTCTAGAACCTGGGCCAGGCCAGGAAATGTAGTAGCGTACTTGAAGTCAGGTCGGGCACAACCCCTCAGGCTTCAGGCTGCGCCTTGGAGAGCTGCTGGACGCGCTCCAGGCTCTCGGCGCTCGCTTGATCGTGCTCTTGCCCACCTTCGAAGTCCCCCCCCCCCCGGTGTTGTTTTAGACGTTGTGGGGATCTGCGTTGTGGGGCCTTGGACCTGGGGCATCTGGGAGCTTCTCATCTCAGGGCCTCGGGGCCCGGCCTGTCATCGCGATCACCGCAATGGGCAGCTTTGGACCATTGGGTGCTGGCGGCTTGGGCGGGAAGAGGAGCCTTGGGAAGGGAGGACAGTGAGCGAAGCAAGCCCATCCGACAGCTTTCAGCCTTCCGATAGCTCCGAAACGGCTACTTGTACCAGTGCTGTTTATAACAGATATGAAGGGAGAACTGAAGCTCAAGATCCTGTGACCCTTGCACCAAGCGGCAGCTCAGAGTCGCAGGCCTGACGGTCCCATAGACTCAAGACTCGTAGATATTCACAGATATTCATAGATACTCATAGATACGCAGAGGAGATACTCAGAGATGCAAACCACTGGATCGAAGTCTAAAGGAAACCAACGATATGGCAGAGCTGGCATTGACGCACGAGGCAAGTTATGCATGTCTGTCGAGGCGGCGAACCTGCAGTGCCAGGTCGAGGATCGTCTTCTCTCCCACCGGCATTGATGAGAAGGTGATAAGCAGAACTCGCCTGTGCAGCGATCATGTCTGGCTAACTTCCCTTGGGTCTCATTCTTGGCATTTCGACTGCATAAGCTTATCCGGGTGCAGCTCCAAACAGCCCGAGGTTCTGGCACTGCCAGCATGAAGTGCGGATGCCGGTGCAGCAACAGCAGCCCCAAAAAACACCGGAAAGAGAACACCACTCTAGAATGAAGGAATGATGTCAGTCTGTCCGACAGTGCACGGGCCGGCCTCCCCGCATCTTTGGCTTGCTTCACGAAGCTGGATAGCTCATCATCGAGAACATCACCTTTGGTTCCTTGCGAACCAGAGTGTGGCAGCATATCTCTTGCACAGATCTCGATAAGGAAGGCTGGCAAGGGCCTCACGAAGTTAACTGTAAGAAACTGCATGGTCTGGCAACAAGCCAAATCCGCCGAAGATCGAAGGAAAACGAAGTCTGTGAGGATGTAGTGCTGAAGCTGCTGCAAGTAGTTGCCCACCTGAGACCCATGATTTCTTACCGCAACATCTTCACAAAACTGTAAGGCCACCTTCACATCGTGTCTCTGAACAAGCCGTTTAGTATCGTGCTTTCCTCGTCATATCCTGAGAAGGATGCTGCGACTGGACTGATAGGCACGACCATCGGCACCTCAGACTCAGATCACAGAAGCGGAGTACAGATGTCGGGTCAGATAGTATGCCAAAGTCATCGTGAAAGCAGAATGTGGAGCACATCTGTCTTCTGAGGCACCCCTTGCTCATGGAGCTCATCAAAGTGAACCATGCCTTGAAGGCCACTGTATCGAGCACACGCTCTTCCGAACGAACGTGAAACGAGCTGCCGAAGCAAGGCCAAGAGAAGCTTGGATAAGAAGCGCAGTCACACGGGCAAAGACAGAAGAGCAACGAATCTCCTGTTAATGAGCCCAGCTGCTGTCCGTGAGTCCCGCTGGGATGGTGATCTCAGCCAAGCATGGCAACAGACGAAAGAAGATTTTGGAGGACATCAGCTCACTGTTCTTGAGCACCACGAGGGAGTTTCCGAAAATAGGGGACCCTAAATGTAGTGCCCTAAATAGTAGGATCCTCAATATAAGGACCTCAAAAATAAGGTACCCCTAACTTTCGGAAACCCCCACGACGTGTTAACATGTTCGGACGCGGAGCCAGCCCCCGGGTCCGACGCAAGCAGTTCAGACTCTGCCCCCGCACCGACATCTGCCTTGGCTCTCTCGCGTTTAAAAGTCATAAAGACCAGCAAAAAGGTGAGGAGTCCAAGGTTCTGCATCACGCTCATCAGGGCTGCGTTGAAGCCCTCGGAGTTCATGGCCTTTAGACTTTTTGAAACACTCAAAGCACCCGGCAAACACACACGTGCACACACGCACAAGCACGCACGTGAGCACATGCGGCGCGTCCTTGCCTTTCGCGTGGGCTCCAGGAGTTGATCGACCGCGGTGGACGTGTCCCGCCGCTCCTTCCAAAAGAAGCTGAAGAGCGGAGAGCCGTGAGTCTATGAACTTCTCTCCCCCGAACTTCTGGCGGCGTCTTCCTCGATCTTGTGATCCGGCTGGCAGATGAAGCCCACGAGCGGGATGCTCAGGGCCTCGCCGATGATCATGGCCTCTGGAGATGCATTCGGAGGCTGCCGCATGCCGGTATCACCCTTCCGGGAAAGGAGCCAGATGGCACACCGTGAAGCCGAAAACGATGAAGTCCGGCCTCCCATCGAAGGAGGCAGAAGACGAGAGATCGGTGGCGCGACTAGGCGACACATCCGACATGTATCTGCGCTGCCTCTCTTCTGCGGCCCAATGGTAAAAGCAGCCCTCGGAGGGGAAGAAGTTCCTCTCCTGCAAAGCTGCAAAGGAAGCTGGAAACTGGAAGGGGCCAAAAAAATAGCTCTCCTGGGCAGAAAAGATCAAAGACTGGAGAAAGTCCTTAGCAAAGCTGCGGCATGCTGCGGCCTCTTGGCCTTGAAAGCATCCACTGAGAACCGGGCATAGTGTTGGCCCTCCCAGGTGATCAGCTTGCTCACGGCAGTTCGGGTCTGCGCCATGGTGTCTCCACCGGATGGCCGGAAGAGCAGAGTATCCTGTGAGCAGAATATGGGAGTTTCCGAAAATAGGGGACCCTCACATAGTACCATAAATAGTACCAGTAGGATCCTTATTATAAGGACCCCAAAATAAGGTACCCCCAATTTTGGGACACTCACCTTTGAACATCCGGGAGAGCATCTGGTTCACTGCATCGAAGCTGAATTGCATGTGCAGAGGGAGCTGAGAAGAAACGCTGATGCGATGCCCTGGAAGATCACTAAGCGACATGGATTTTGGCCAACCCAGAACCCAGAACTCTGAATCTGGGCAGGGGCCGCTGAAGTGAAGAAAGCGCATTGCATCCTACATTGGTCCTGAAGGCCTTCGTGCCCCGTCGCATGTTCACTACAATCCTCTCTCATGCGAATTTACAGACTTACGATCACTTGCAATGTCTGCGCACAAGACTTTGCAATCGTCGTTGCCAAACTCGCCGCCCCTGTTGCCTCAAACTACAAGACTGGGAGCGTTCCGCCCGTTGCTGCCTGGGTTTCTTCACAGTGCTCTGCTGCAGAGAGGACAGATGCCACGACCCGAGCATCACAGCCTTCCCTTCCTTGCCTTCCACGGACCGGACTCAGAGAACCCACACTTTGTGTTCCTCCCGCCGCTTCCCAGCTTCCCTCCCAACCTTGCCGAGGCTTCGTTCCAAAACCAGGGCATGGCTCCGCAGCAGGAAACAAGCCACAGGCACTCTCTCTCTTTCTCTCTTCTCTCCCATGCCCGAACTCCTGCGGCAGTCCATCTCTGAAGTCCTTGATGAAGCTTTTCCATGTAAGCCTCACACGCAGCGTGCGCAACAAGAGCAAGCCGGCAAATCCATGCTGACAGGAAGCTCGGTGCAAATGGTCACCTCGCAGTTGTGACGCCTGGGCTCTCAGCAGAAATTACAAAAAATGCAGCAACTTGAAGCAACTTGTCCCAGCGGGCCGCCAAGGCTCAAAATCAACCCGCGCGCCAAGGCCACGAACGGCTGCACATCACCACGCGTGCCCCTGGACATTGGCATAGAGAGAGAGGCGACCCCTGAACCGTGCCATGCTTTCCGTCTAAACGAGACGCTGGGGCTAATGTGGCTTCACCGGCCACCCTTTCCGACCCAAGCCTCGTCATCACCATGACACGAGTGCGGCCGTCAGGCCTCCTGGCGGTCTCTTAAATGCCGCAGCGCTTGAGGTTTTAGTTTTCCCAGTTTTGCCTTTGCCCCGCCCCCCGGTTCCCGGCCTGGGCCTGACGGCGCCTGAAGCTGGGAGATCCCGCTGCCAGGACGAAGAGCGCCGAGCTTGGATCTCCTGCGAAAGCTTCCCTTTGCACCGAAGCCACACTCCGTGGCCGTGGCTCAGGGTCCTCCTCCTGCACACCGCCGACGATCTCCACCGCCAAAAGTAGGAAAGTCGGACGGCGCACCGTCTGCAGCAGTTTAGCAGGCTTATAGGTTATAGTCAACCCGGCACCAGGCACTTCTAGACTGCTTGTCAGACCTGCCTGGCCACGGCGCGTGATGCGCCTGTACTCGTGGCTGTGCGTGACGTCCGATGTCTTAGTTTCAGCATTGCTGGCAGGGGACTCCTTCCACATCCTCCAAGGTGTTTAACGGAGGACCGACAGCTACTTGTACCGCACTGATTGAAACTTGACTGTCGGCCCTGTTATTGGGTTCTTCGAAAGCCACTCGTTTGGAGATTCGGGAGCTCGATTTGCAGTTTCTGACCTCGGCCTCTACCTCGAACCTGCATGTGACCATGCAGATCTGAAGCCAATGCCTCTTGCCTCAGCTTCACACGGAATGAAAAGCAGCAGCTGGGTGCAGCACATATAAGGGGTTACACGCAGTGGGATCTTGCAGAAGCAGCCGCCACGCGGGCTTTCCTCATTGCCAATATGACTGGCAACAACATCGCCGGCTGCAAGCGCTAGGCGGAATGAATACTGGCTCATCAAAAACGTGATGCAGCTGGACCACTTGCAAGATCGCCAACCCCGATCTTGGCACATCCAACGACGTTGCCGTAACCGTCGCAAACATTGAAGTCCAAATTCCACGAACTGCAGGGACGCAGAATGAAACAGAGCTGCCGCCGTGAGTCCGTGCAGACCAACACAGCACCCTCCCAGGGACCTGTGCGACTCCAAGTCCGTCTGAAAGAAGCGAGGCGGGTCAAAGGACAGATGCTCGCCTTCCTGAACCAATGTCTCCCAGCGAAAAGGCTCACACTCCGTTCCCGACCGACTGCAAGCCGTGAGTCCGATAGCTCACCATTCCGGAACCTTAGACGGTGCACGAGCCGCCAAACCGAGTGCTGCCTAGTACTTTAGCTTTAATGGACGTCCGCGTAACTCGAAGATGGCAGGAATCGGCAGCTCCGGATCGAAGACCGAGTCTGGTGGCAGCTCTGCCACCTGGAAGACAAAAGGCACCCGGTGCAGCTTAAGCCTGCCCCCCGCTCTCACAGCAGAAAGGCCGCGGCCTTCACTGAGATGTTTTTCCTTGCTGACTTCTTCAAGGAGCGCGAGGGAAAGTTGAGGCATCCCTGCGGACATTCAAGCAGCAAGACCAGCTTACCTCAAAGACGGTCTTTGATCGCCGTGCCTGCACTGAGACGCGAATCAAAGTGTAGCCACGTTTTGGTGGCTTCCCCGACATGATTTCATGACCAAGGTGTTTACGAGAAGAATGGATGTGTGAGGTGGCCACTTTCGGGAGAAATCAGCGGAAGATGAAACTCCAACATGCTAAGCTATCGCTGTGTTGGGCAGTCTGGTCCTGTTGGTTACTATCTTCATGGGGTTTTGTGCATGAGGGATGTGTGCAAAAGTTCTCGCAGAGTTGAGTGAACTGAGCTGCACAAGATACCCGTCGGGCTTGGCTCGCCTTACTAGTCTAGCTCTTGCAGAGTCGAGCTTCGGTTGCCTTGAGCAAAGCATCGTCAGTAGGCAAACGACACTGACGGACTGACAGACTGACAGAGTCAGATCTGCAAATTCCATGCGAAGCGTGAGGCCCCGACGCAATCTCCATGGGGCTCGTCTTGAAAGCCTCGGGCAGCCAAGAGTGGACCGGTCAGAGCTCATCAGCTCCGCGCTTCCGGGCCTCGCCATTCTTCTTCGTGCCGTCCGGCAGCTCGATCTGCAAGTTTCGCACCGGCTGAGGCACCCAAGTGTCATCTCAAGACGGACACGGCTCAAACTGGAAAGACTGGCAGTGTAGTCCTTTCTAAACTAGGCCGTTTATTCATTCGAAGCACAGCTTTCCCACCCCCTACAAGACACCCAGGCCCTTTTGCGCGCTTCTTGGCTCTCGGAGTTCACTGCTTCGTTCGGCGCGGCACGCCTCGATCTTCTTTTGTGGCTTGGACGCTAGACCGTCCGTGTACTTCTTGTAGAGCTTCTCCCAGACCTTGGGACATGAACCATCTAGACTCTGGGCAGCACGCAAAACGCTGCGTGAGGCAGGATGGAGGCTAAGAAGGAAGCCGGCAAGTGAAGGCAGAGCTAAGGCCCGATCGTCAAGGCGGTGCTTGATATAGGGAGCCTGCTTCTGGACTTTGAACCTGAAACTAAACTATCAGGATTTTCGGCTTCGCATGTTAAGGCGGCACACCTGCGCCGGTGCATCTCATGTCAATGCGGCGAAAGTGTCTGCACACAGCAGCACAGCAGTCCCTGGGCAACCGACTCGCCCTCAAACTTTCCCTTCTCACCGATCCTGGAATAGAATGTCGGGCGGAGCCACAGACGCCAGAAGCCAAGGTGCAGGCTAAAGCATCTCTCCTTGGTCCACCGCCAGCATAGGCTCGCTTGCCGGCTGCAGCTGCCATGGCTCTCCGGCTCTGAGTCTTGGGAGATCAGAAGCACATGGGCTCAGAGTGACGAGTGTCAGGTGGTTGAGGACGTCAGCATGCTTTGTAGCGACTTGTACAATTGGCTTGCTGAGTCGAGGTGTGGCTGCAATCTTGCTGGGCTCACATCACAGCTAGAGTCAGCGCCAAAGGTCGTTGCCGCGGGCTCCCAAATTCCCCGAATACTGAACATCACAGTAGTTTGTGCATTCATGCCAGGCAAAAACGTCTGCCAGCTACGATGCTGATGGGCATCACGACCCATCCCAGTTTTCGCATTTTGCGATCTATCAGTCTGCCGCCGTCGGCTCTTGTGCGCCTCTGCTAGTTTCTGTCACTTCCTCCGACTTGGCGTCGGTGGCTTTGGGCAAGCCTACCACAAGAAGCGTGCATCAAACAGCACATCCAGATAAGGAATGCAGTCGCGTCTGAGCTACGTGCTGGAATCAGCCGGGTCTTGATCACCGGCAGCTGTCCCGCTCTCCTCGTTCTCCTGCTTCCTGCGCATCTCCTTGATGACCTCAAAACGCATCGGCAGCACAGGGTCGAAGGGACCGGCCCCCCGATAGATGCACTCCAAGGTACTACTTGCACACGGGCTTTCCTCAGCAAGGCAGATAGCTCCCGACATTCAGCCAGCCCCAGCATGTCACATCCGCCACCCTCTCAGGAAAGTCAAGCGGCTGTCTCTCCAAAGCCACTTCTATCAACGTCTGTCCGCCAGCGTTCTCGGCATCCCAGCGCAGGCTGGTGGTTTCAAAGAGGCGCCGCAAGTCCTGCCAATAGGCCCCAACCGGCAACCTCGCTCACACCAGCCGGATTTCAATCGAGTCCTCGGCATTGTCTCGTGCCACACATTTGAAGGCCTTTTGCGTCAGCATCTGTCCGGCATCCAGGGCAATCAGGCTTTGCCTTCACGTCGTGCCAATCCTCTTGGAAGGGAGAGAAGGCCGGACACTGCCTGTAGAGCTCAAAAGCGGCGTCCGCTGCTGCATCGTGGCCAATAGCCGTTGTGTCCTGCCTCGAATTCAACACAAGCTGCGATGCTCTGTCAAGGGAGCAAACTCATCGGTCAGACAAACCGTGCTTCGCGACGAGATGCTCCAAAATCTCCTTGAGAGCCGGATCGCGCTCGGCAAGGGCTTCCAGATCAGCCTTTCAAGAAAGCTGCGCAAAGCGTGGTGCTTTGATGTCTTCAGGTTGAACCGTGAAGCAGCCTTTTCGGCTTCGTGCAAGTGCTCAGCATTCTGCAGAGGCCCCAGGTTATTCCCAGGATCCTTGCGTCGTTTTCATGCAACGGTTATGTACTTCTGTGTCTCTGCTTATTCGCGACACATGGAACCCGAGGCATCGCTGTCCTCTCTTGCCTCTTTCGCCTGCCTTGGCGATGGGAGGTCCTCCCAAGTCTCAGATCAGGCTTGGGCGACAGCAATGCGAGACATGTCGTGCCAGCCGTCGAATTCCTGAAGATGTCCCATCGCTCCAACAGCATGCAAACAGCGGGGCTCTTTGTTTCAAATTTACAAAATGCCCTGTGCGAAGAGCTCTGCTGGACCCTGAACACTGGCACCAGCGAGAGTCCAACAAAGAAGGCCGACGCTGTTCTTCAGCTTCTTCGTGGCCCCAGCCAACCTTGGCAGTCTCAATGGCAAACTGATGCTGTGCTTCCAAAAACTCTCACACCTGCAACATATCGCTACGGACCGCAGGGACCGTCAAAGCTCGATCACACATGCGGTTTGTCTGTCTGTGTCTGTCCCTGCTTCTGTGAGCATCTGCCACTGCACATCAGCGTTGCCTCCAGTTCAGCCAACATCAAACCGTCACGCCCCGAAGGGCTAGAGCATGATATGCTTGCGTTCCTTGCGTGTTGCGGCTGTAAACGCACGTCAGAGCCTTGTGCTCACTGGCCGGAGGCGCTGAAAAGAATCACAAGATTCTCGGGCCGTCAATTTTGTACATGGGACAGAAGTTCTGTTCTTGTCCCAGCCATGATCAGCCAAAGCACGCATCCAGGCGGTGGCGCTTCGAAGGTGCGGAAACCCCGCCAGCTCGGCTCCAGCACCGCCAAGGCGGCGGCCATGGCAATGACTGGCCCCTTGAGGGCCAAAACAGCTCGTCTTGAAGGGCCATGTGCAGGAACAACGCGCGTCCCAACTCCCGCCAAGCAGCTTCCCTTCGACCAGCTATTTCTCTAAACATGCTGCTTCGACTGCACCTTTGGCATCTTTAGAGGTACGAGTTGACTTGGGCAGCCTTTGTGCCACAATCTAGGGCCTGGGTGGCCTGGGATCATTATCAAGCGGAGCACTGCGTCTGTTGTGCAATGCCACGACGTCCAGCTCGAGCTTCCAGAACGTCTTAGGACCTCGGCTGTTCAAGACTGGTGCTGCTTGCAGACGTGACAAGCGACGCTCTCGAAAGCTTCATGCTGCCACCGGACCAGCCATGGAAAATTGACGGAAGCTCGGACGTGGGAACCTGAAACACAAGGCGACGTCGTCAAGTCTTGTGCGACTGAGAATCTACACAGCCTGAAACATTGTCAATGAGGCCAGGTACCCATTCTGCATCACCTTCGCAACGGGGAGTGATTTTGGCTGGGGACGGATTTCACAACCCATCCCACCTCGAAGATGAGTCCAGGAAATGCATAAAAGTATCTGCTGCCAAAAGATGTGTGGCTGTCGTCACTTTGGTTCCTCCGACTCCGCTCATCGGCCGTCTGAAGCGGTGTGTGACTGCCGAGGCTGTCGCATGACGAGTGGCCGTGATTTCGAGAAGCCTGCATTTTGCAAGGCCTGCGTCGTACTGTGCCAATGCCAAACGCACGAACTGCAAGGGACGGATCGGCCTCTTCGATGTCAGGCCAAAGCCATCGGATCTGTCAGTACAAGCTGCGAAGAATATGGTTGTGTCGGTTGGGGCAGATTGCCCGAAATATGGTTGTGTCGGCTGGGGCCATTTTCTGGGCTCGGGCTATGGGCTTAAGGTTCGGGGGATCCCGGAGAATTATCCGGGATAGGGTTGTGTTGGCTGGGGCCATATCCTGGGCTCGGGCTGGGCTTCAAGTTCCGGGGATCCAAGGGATATCCGGGATATGGCTGTGTCAGCTGGGGCCATATCCTGGGCTCGGGCTAGGCTTCAGGTTCGTGGGATTTTCGAAGGACATTCCGGGATATGGTTGTGTCGGGTCATATCTGGGCGCATATCTGGGTGTGGGGTTTCTTCTCTCACAAGCGCTTAAGTCCCGTAGGGGCCGTCATCCCAAGCCACTGTAGCAGGATAAGAAACGCTATCCTAATGGTACCACGTTCGAAATCTCGAACTGGCCAGTCAACTTGGACTGTACAATCAAAACTAGGAAGTGAGGTCAATGGAACGGCCATGCTTTAATGTGGTTTTTTTTGTGAAACTGGGCCTCCTCTGTGTTGGCGAAGCGTTCGCGCTTCAAGGTGTTCATGTCAACTTCAATGTACGAGTTGCATTTGCAAATCACGACCATCATGATGTCATTGCAAGCACAATCGGTATCTTCTCGTTGCAATTCTCACAACGAATGCCTGCGACATTCTTAACATGCTCGCGAAGTTTCTCATTCTTCGCACTGAGAACTTCAATCACCGATGCTGCCATGCTGAGCTCCGGTTCCAAATGCTGGATCTTGGCATCGTCGAAATCCTCGATTGGGTCATTGTCACTCGTCTGCTTGACCTTCTTCTCCAACTCACTCTTCTCTGCCTTGATTTAGCTGCTTCCGCAAAGCTTTCTCTTCGAGGATAGGCGACAGTGAATCTTGTTGATTTCATCGAATCTGGACTCAAGCTGCGCAAAGCCCTCACTTTCTCTTGCCTATAAGAAATCCTGTCTAGCCTGAGACGGTTGCTCGACTGGTCTCCATGTGTGGTCTTGCACGTGATTGCACAAATCACTGGCGAGAGCAAGGCCATCACGAATCGCTTAGTGGGTCAGTTCAGGTATCTGGCTCGCCATTCTGTTTATGCTCCACAGGTTGATCGAGGAGAAGAAGTTCTTGATCGTCATACGAGTCTCGGCCCAAGTATCCAGGCATATGCCGTGATACTTATGCGCAAACTCACTTGCGATACGCACTGCTGGACTGAACTTGATGAAAAATGCTTTCAGGTGCATCGTGGGAGTCGTCACATGTTTCACCCAACCACGACTCTCCATGTAGAAGGATACCAACATCCATTTGGAGGCCGACACTATCGACATGTAACCTCCTCCTCCCAAGTGTACGCCGTAGGAATGCTGAAGGTTGTCATCGTTCATGAACAAAGTGGCTGCTTTCATCTCTATGGGCAGCCATCCTGCTCCAATCATCTCATTGGCGATTTTGGGTGTCTTCTTGATAAGCGGTCTGGGTGCGAGCAACAAGTCCGTGGCATAGCCTGAATGAAAATGGCATGCTGGCGAGTCCAAGAGTTTCGCTTTCTGTAAGTTTGCACGGACCCCGTCGTTCCATGAATAGAATGCCTTGTTGTAGCCTCTAGGGCGCAAGCTTCCAAACTCGATCACAAACCACGTGGGAAGCAGGTCTTTAACAAGGCACTCGGTCTGCTTTGTTGGCGGGCGGTCCTTGTTGTTTGAGCGCATCTGTACATCAACGGTTTAGGGTTTAGGGCTTTAGGGTTTAGGGTTCAGCAGCTCCGGATCTAGCAGTTTCCAGTCGAGCTCGCTCTGTTGATCCTAGAAAAATACCCAGAGCTGAGATCCTAAACCCTAAACCCCATATCCTGAACCCTTAAACCCTACGTGTACGATTCAACACCAGAATAATAGAAAAACCTTCGGATACGAACCCTAGGCCTTGAACCCTAAACCCTGAACCTTGGGCCCTAATCCCTAAACCCTAGGCGCAGCGCGATTTTCGCAACGAAGGCCGGGGCCTTTTTTGCAACGAACCCGGGCCGAAAGGGCCGTCTTCCAATGAAAGCCTGGCCATGTTCCAACGAACCTGGGCCCTTCGTCGGAAAATGGCCGGAATCTGATCCAAAAACCACCGAAAAAGCAATTTTCCAAGGAACCCGTATATGGTTTAAGTACAAAAGATAAAGAGGGTTTAGGGTGTAACTGCGAACCCACTCTTGAAAGCGACACCGGAGCCCTGGCATCGATGCAGACAGCCGCAAAGCTTCGCCTTGGTACAAGGCGGCCCTTCGCCCTTCACACGCCACACGACAGCATGCGACAAGGGCCCAAGTTTCGGACCTCTCTTCCGGCTCGTGATCATCGGAGCTCATCGCTGTCCCTGTGACAAGCTGGGATTTCCGGCAGCCCTTCGCAGACCAAGGCTAGCGGCTAGCGAGGCTCGCTTGCCTTCCACTCCAACGAGCTGCAGTGGTGATTCCTGCGGCTGAGACTCTGTGACAAGCCTTAGGCCCGGTCCACAATATATTAATCTCTTCGCAACACAATATATCCGCCGAGGCCACAGGCCCAGGCGTCTTGGGGGTTAGCTCAGGTACCCTCCACCTAATCCTCCTCCCTACGGTTGCCCGGCTTCCCCTCATTTTACCTGATTTGTCGGCCTCCCCCCCTCCGAGGCCTCCCCCCCCTCTCTCCCGCCCCCCTCCCCCCCTGCCCCCTCCCCCCTCCCCCCCCCCTGAAACCATAAACCTCTAAAGGGGTAGCTCTAACAGGTACCTACAGCAATGGCTGCATGCTCATACATATACATTCCGCTGCCCATTGGCTCACAGTGGTTTTACCATATTGAGACAAGACAAGCTCTCCTTGCGTAGCAAGACAAAACAACTACTGTCCGTGTGCAGGGCGCTGCCCTTTGATCCTTAGGGAATAAACTGGTCATACACCTCCTTACAAGGAGTATCCCTTGGGGGTGTATCGGCACAGTTTTCTGGTAGCGGAGCCCGGAAAGGGCCGCCCGCCTCACAAAGTCCGCTACAGCGGTCGGCCTCGCCGAACGCTTAACCAAGCGGACAAGAGGCAGCACAATGTCGAGCTCGCATAGCGAAGCCGACGGCAGTTCCCAATCCTCCGGGGGATATGAGAACGAAGAGACCTCCCAAGGTCCAGCTACTTATGTCGCACAGTCATATGCAACATCTGACCGCATGCTTGCATCATTAGGCATAACGCCCAAGATCGCGCCTGCCTATGATGGCACCACCTCGTGGTTTGAGTATGAACAGTTGATTGACGACTGGTGCGATATAACAACGCTGGATGATACCAAAAGAGGTCCGTCTCTCAAGACGAGGCTCTCCGGATTGGCCGCAGTACAAAAAGAATCACTCAACAGAGAAAGGCTTGCAGCCCCAGACGGAGTAGATTACTTCAAGAAGAAGATGCGTCCATTTTTCGTGAAAGGAGAACAGTACGTTTTCCTGTGGCGTTTTCTCGGCCTATTCAAGGCATGGAAGGGCAACCAAGACTTTGTGACTTGGATTGCTAAGTTTGAGATCGTGCTACAGCGCGTGAGAAACTCATGGATGGATCTCTTACCAGAGATAATTCTGGAAGATGCCCATCCTGATTTCATGCAGGCTGTGCAAGCAGATCAAACCTTCATGCGCCTACAGGATGCAACCGAGAGAGACACATACGCCGCACGTTTCTTCGAAACATGGAACAAGGAACGCCTTGATAATCATCGAAGAGCGTTTCCTCTAAATGATAATCTCCTAGCTCTCCTCTTCCTAGTGCAGTCCGACCTAAATGAGATGCAACGTGAGAGGTTGGTAACAGCATTGACCAACCAAGGTTACCGAATTGAGACCTACACGTACCCTATAGTACGGCAGACCATGTTCGATCAGTTCTCAACGACCAGAACTGGTCTGCAGGATCCCAATATTCGGCACACTTCTCACAAGAAGGACCGCCATGGAAGGAGAGATCAACGCCGCAAACGCGGAGGTCGAAACTTCCTCATCCTCGATCAGGGTGAATACGACGGAGTCGATGGATTCTGGCTCCAAGACGAAGACACCCTTGAGGAAGGCTTTCTTGCCGCCGAGGATGAAGAAGCTGTCTTCTGGACAGTTGACGACCATGAAGCCTTCGTTGCAAGGAGATTCAAAAAGGGAAGAAGACCAAGAATGCGTCCCGGATCACCGGGAAGAGCAAAGGGTGGCAAGCGAAAAGGACGTGGCCGTTTTAGGTCATACCGCGGAAAAGGGAGAGCCAACCAGGCAGAACATGATCCAACTGATTCCAGCTATTTCGGTAAAGGTAAAGGAAAAGAAAAAGGAAAAGGTGGAAAAGGCAAAGGAAAAGGAAAGGACAAAGGAGATAAAGGAAGCTCCTTCAAGGGTACAAAATCAAAAGGCAAAGGTAAGGATACAGCTAAGTCTGCCTCCTTACAAGGAGACCAAACTGGATCTCCACAGGCCTATGAAAGTTCCACCGCACCGAGCTGGGATTCATGGTATGAGGACAGTTATTATACTGACTCCAGTTGGAATTATGCCGCTTATGACGATCAAACGTCTTATACATACTATGCATCACAAGCCTCACGAAGAAAGACACGGAGAAAGAAGAGAAGAAATCAAGCAGGATCATCAGGTAGAGGCACAGATCCGAGCGCGCACCAAGAACCCGTGTACAACTCATCAGTGAGTTACGCGCCCCAGGTTTTTGAACCATCCGAGGGGCAAGGTGTGGAGACTGCAACAGCAGTGTTTCCGTTGCAGCACACCGTCCTATCTGCTCTCACCGAGCGGATCAATCTTGATAAGAGCCCTACCTTTGTCATTCTTGACTCTGGTTGTACTAGGGCTATGGGTTCCCGCTATGCGGTGAACAGGCTTATCAAGGCCGTGAAGCAACATGCCCCAGGCATGATTGATTTCACTTTTTCACCTTCGAACACGAAGTTCTCTTTCGCAGATAGTGAAACAGCTCTTATCAAGGAGCGTGTAACTCTATGGTTTAACACAACTCCAAGAAGAGATACAACCATAGAAGTTTTGGATCAGGGAAGAGTCCCCATCTTGTTCTCCATTGAACAGATGAGAAATCTAAGAATGACCCTCGAGTGTAGTCCAACAGCTGACCTAGCAACGTGTGAAGCCTTCGGTTTGTATAAAACCCCTCTTCCGATTAGTACCAATAACCATTTGGTATTGGACCTTTTAGGCTTTACTTCCACCAGGAAGTATCTTCCTAAGTCAGGTACATCGTTCCGTGCGACGGAGACTGCTCTAGGAGCCAATAAGCCTTATGTTAGGATACCGGAAGGTCGCTGTCCAGCCTGTGCCGGACAGAAAAAGGCTCACACGTACCTCAAGGGTTGTGACAGAGCACCTGAGGGAGCAGCTGATCCACCACCGAAGAGGATTTCAGGGAAAAGGAAGCCTCTTCCATCTGATCCGGCAGAATCATCTGCCAAAAGACTTGATCCACCAGAATCATCTGGAGATGTTCCTGAGCCTTCCGGACCATCGGAACCATCATCAGGCTCTAGAGACAAACCTGCAGAATCCTCTGCACCGCATGAACCTCCAGAAGAAGAAAGACTTGAGGTTCCATCTGCGAAGATAAAGACTCCAAAGGGTCTTAAAAACCTTCTGAAGAAAACCCGCAAATATGCGGACAAACCTCCTGTTGAAGAGAAGTCTACAGTCCCAGGAGCTGATGACGGGACGGAGGTAAGACCACTTGAGTCAAGAGAATACCCGGCTCCTGGCACAGACTCACCAACAGGTGAAGAGATTGTCGCAGAACCTTCGCCATCTCTTCCCATTGCTCTTCGCAGGATTCATGAAAAGCTTAAGGACCCTGTAGAACTCTACAAGCTTCACCTTAAGCACCGTCATATGAGTACGGATCAGTTCAAGCGACGCACAAAAGCCTTACAGATCCCAAAGGAGATCTACGAGCTATATGACCAACTGGTCAAAAAGTGTTCAGCCTGCCAGGAACATGTGAGAGCTCCTTCGAGAGCGAAGATTTCTGGTTTAAGATCAGAGACTTTCGGTGATCTCACCTTCGTAGATCACGGTGAGCTTCCAATTCCCGGCAAGGATAGTCGCTTAGTATTTCTTATTCTCTATGATGGAGCAACAAACTTGTTGACTGCCGAAGTAGTCCAGGATAAAGAAGAACATACTACAATGTCTATTATGAATGACTACTTTGAAAAATTTCAGATCAACCCAAAGGTTGTAGTTGGAGATCAAGCATTCATGACTCCAAAAATGGAGGCTTATTACAATCGGCAGAATATCAAGCCTGTGGCAACAGGACCTGGAACACCATGGCCCAACAGGGCCGAAGCTGCTGTAAGATTGCTGAAGCATCAGATTAAGCTCATACTTCAGATCCTGAAGGATGGTGACCCGCAGTATAACGGAATCACCATGAAGTATGGCAACCTCGTTCGCCAAGCATGTTTGGCAAGAAACTCTTCGATTACCTACGGAGGAGTTACTCCTTTGGAAATGGCCTTCGGAAGGCGTCCTCGAGATGTTATCACACCAGAGAACGCCGATCCCAATCAGTTGACAGGTAATCCAACTGATACGGAAGTCACTGCGAGAGCCATTAAGGAGCTTGCCAACAGGGCTTACCAAGAGGCACGCCAATCTGATGATCTGCGTAGAGATCTTGCAGCCAGACTGTCAATG